CCATCACTGCTCACCGCCGACGGATCGACGGTGTTCCTGGATGTGGAGCCGGCCGTGCACGACGACGGCGCGCGAGCCGTCTCCGACAGCAACGGTCTGAACTGTTACGTCCGGAGTCTCGGCGCCACACGCGTATTACGATGCCTACTCCGCAGGCCGGGCTCGGTGGTCAGTCCCTCTCTCACACTGACCCCACACTCACACCATATTACCGCACCGAACCCGATCTCGCACCTCCCACACTCTCAACCACATATTACCGCCGATCGCAGCCCCTGCTACACTACCCCACACGCGCTCAAACCACATTATTACCGCATCACAGCCCCTCCCACTCACTACCCCACACTGCCTGAACCCAATTACCGCTGCGAAGGCCCTCCCACACCTACCCACACGTTCAACACCATGATTACCGCAATCGCAGCCCCGCCCACACAGCTACTCCCACACTCCTCAACCACATATTACCGCATTCGCCCCGGGCCTCTTCCCACACTAAACCCACAGATCATCTAACCATCCATATTATCCGATCTCGCCGTCCCACACTACCCCAACTCAACCACATATTACCGCAATCGCAGCCCTTCACACTACCCCACACTCGCTAACACTACTTACTGCAGTTCACAGCCCGCCTCCCACACTACCCCACCACTCGCAAAAAGATTATCGCATCGCAGTGTTCACACTACCCCACACTGCCTCAACCAGCATATTACCGCTTTGCACGCCCTCTCACATCACCCACACTCCTCAACCAATATTCACCGCCAACTCGAGTGTCTCGCCCAACTGACCCCACATTCCTCACCAAATCGATACGCGGCATCGCAGCCCCTTCAGCACTACCCCCACCTCCTCAACAATATTACGATCGAAGCCCCTCTCCACTCGCCACACTCGCTCAACAACATTTCACCGCATGCGCTAGCCCTCTCACATCCCCACTCGCTCAACACCGATCTACTTACCGCATCTGCGAGCTGTCCCTCGCCACACCTCACCCCTACACTCCTCGAAACACCTAGTTACCGGCATCATCAGCCCCTCTTCACACGTCATATGTCCACATGATCTCCTCACAGGCCATACATATTTACCGCAGTCGCAGCCCCTCACACTAGCCCAACTCCCAACCACATGGCATACGCACATCGCAGCGCTCTCTCACCACTACCCGCACACTCCTCAACACAATGATTACGCGCGATCACAAGCCCTTCTCACTACTACCCACACTCGCTCAACCACATTCTTTACCGATCGCAGAGGCTCTCTCTCTACATCTGACCCACACTCTCAACCACATGAGGTACCGCCATCCACGCCTCCCTCTCCCGCGGTGATACCCGACCACTCTCAACATCATTACGCATCACAGGCTCCTTCACAAGTACCCACACTCCTCAACCACTATGTAACCGCATGGCTTCTCTCTCGCCACTACCACATTCTGCAACACATATTACCGCGATGCACAGGCCCTCTCACACTACCCGACACTGCGTATTCAACCAAATATTACGATTCACAGTCCTCTCCACTACCCCACACTCGCTCAACATTTCTCATTACCGGTGTAGGCGGAGTCGACACCACCGTTACCAGGCGTGGACCCATCGCCACGGCGGAGCTGACGTGCAGGCGCGCGCGGCGCGCGCCGCCCAGGCCGGAAGCTAGCGCGGCGCCACAACCGTCACGCGGCTCAGCCGCAGCGGCACCCAAGTGCGTGACGGCGGCAGAGTCGGTGCGCGCCTGTCGCGCGAGGCGCCGCCGCGGGCTCCTACAAAGAAGCAGAACTTACCCGGCCCACGGCGTGCTTGACCCGACATATGCATACCGCCGATCAGCGGAGTCGACCCCTCCTCCAACGTTCCTCGACACCTCGGCTCAAGCACATCCACGCTTCTCAGCGGCTCAGCCTGCCCGCACCTCATACCCAACTCATCAAGCCACATATGATCGTTACGATCGCCAGGTCCCGCTCCAACACCACCGTACTCCCACACTCCTAAACCAATGTACCGCAATCGAGCCCCTCTCACACTACCCCACACTCAACAATCGTAGTCGCTACGGCATCGCGCGAGTGCCCGTCTCGTCACAGCTTAAACACCCCACCACTGTCTGCAAGGCCACGATGATAGGGGGAGGCGCATTCTGTCCTCACGAAGGCCCCTACTGAAGACCGACTCCCGGCAACTGGACATACCGACGCATGATTACCTGGACACCATGCCAGCCCACGTGACCCACCAGTACCCCACACTCCTCAACACATATGTAACCCGACATCGCGTGGACGAGCCTGATATCTCACACTAGCCCCCACACTCCTCAACCACAGATTAACCGCATCTGGCCAGGCCCCCGCACACTTACCCAGGCACTGTGCGGCGTTCAACCATGAGTTAGCCACATCGACGCAGGGCGCTCTGCACCGGGACCCTACGGCACCCGGCCACGGTCGACGATCAGAGCCACAGCATATGTCACCGCAGTCGGCGAGGCGAGACGAGGCGCGCCGGCTGTCCGAGGCACGCTCAGCCGCGCGACACTCGCTACCACAGACTTACAGCCTCCGGCAAGCCCACTCTGCACCTACCCCACACTGCAAGTAACACGATACATATACGATCATTCGGCGCAAGCCCTCTACACGAGGCTGTGCGACTGATTGTCTATAACCCTATGGTCTAGGCTAGGGTCTTCTAACCCTAGCAAGACCATTTCTTGGAGCTAGGTGTCACGTAGATACAGTAAAAACCCGCGTATAAGAACATAGATTTTAAGAACATGTTAGGCTAAAATTTCCCATTTAGACCCCTTTACATAAGAACCTGTTTTAGGCTAAGATTTTAAAGTAGGTTCTTAATTTTCCATGTTTTTTTCCATTTTTTTCTCCTCCATTTTTTGGCATGTTGTTTTATTTCCTTGGATACATACTGTATCATACAGTATGGTAAGCACTGAAAAACTTACACTGTAGCCCATCATGGGTATTAATTAGCAAAAATTGCAGTCCTTGTAAGAAAATTTTAACACAATTTGAATCAAGTATTATAAGCTTATACATATTAAAAGTAGAAACAATTAAGAACCTATTTAAGAACCTTTTGAGCCTAATTTTTCAGTAAGCACCATTTATATAAGAACCTATTGAGGCTAACTTGGAAAAATCTATGTTCTTATACGCGGGTTTTTACTGTACAATAATATAACCCAAACACAGGGGTAGGTTACACATATAGCTTCTTACAAAATCTCGTGTACACAGATGGCTTCTGGTACCTAAAACAGACCCCACCTTCAAATACTCCTCTGCAACACAAAATCTTGCTGCACACAGATGACTGTAGTGATGTGTACATATTCATAAGTGTACATAATTCAAAAGTGGGATTGAATCTCAATGGCTCATCCTATAATCTTTCATCTTTTTTAGTCCTTTTATGTTTCTTTTATAGCGAATTCTCTGCAGTTTGGTTTTTCTCTTCCCCTTTTTCGATTACTCTTGCTTTACTGTCGTTTTTCTGACCACTCGTTCCATGTCGCACCTCTTTTGTCTCTTTCCTCTCGCCGCTCACATTTTTAGCCATATTACTGCAACACAAATGTAATCTTTAAGCATTTCTTTTATAGAAAAGAAGACTTGCTGAGCTATTTGCAGAAAAGATACCCGAAGATGAAGCCTACCTAATGTCAAATGGCAGGCAAGTATAAGAGAAAATATTAGCACAGAAGAATGTTCGCATTATATTACAATATATTGAATTAAATTAGAAGTGTAAGTTAACTAGTTAAGAAATAATAGTCAAAACAAATAGTAAACATGGATAAGTTGGTCATATGGTTATAGAATGATGCATATGTCATTCCTTTTTTTTTCATTATAAACGTTAACAAATGTCTGTTTTTAGGTACGCATGCTTGGTATGCCATCACAGACCTGTCTTTGACACTCTAACCATGATGGCCATGCACAGGAAAGGAAAAAGGCATTTAACATCTCCAATTTCGGCACAGTGATGGCTTTTCCTACCATGATGCTATACACCGACTATCACGAGCCTAGGTCGAGCCATTTAAATTTGTGCCGCAATTCTGCATTTCCTCCCTATACCTTAAGTTAAGGAGGGAATGTTCCCTTTTCTTTTACACCTCTTGACCTTTGACCTTTGACCCCCAGCTTCGACATCTCAACTCGTTTTCGGATTACCCCCCCCACGTCCCGACTTTCGAATCCGTACGTCGAGCCGTTTAGATTTGTGCCCAACTGTTGACGGATGCACGGCCGGCCGGACGGACGCACGGACGATCATGCGATTCTACAAGCTGCACCTGACTACGTCAGATGAGCTAAAAAATTTGACACAAACTGAAGAGGGATGAAGAGTTGCATAAGAATCCTACACATAATCTAGAGGGGAGAAAAGTTATACACAAATTCCCACATATACAGGAAACTACGTGGAGCCCGTCAAAAAGACACACCACAAGTGAAGAGGAGAGATTGCACAAGAGAGATTGCAGAGGACACAATGTACTAGAGAGATTGTACAAGAGAGACTCAGTGTAGAAAAGTGGGATTGTACAAGAGAGACTCTACAAGATGAGAGACTGTATGAGAGATATTGTAGTTGAGAGATTGTACAAGAGAGATTCCACACGAGAAGAGCTTGTACAAGAATAGCAGTTGTATAAGAGATACTGAACGGGAAAAGATTATACAAGAGGGTACACTGTATAAGAGTGATTCTCTAGAGGAGAGTTTATATGAGGGATGATGTACAAGAGGACAGATTTATGAGAGATGGCGCAAGAGAAGTGATTGAATAAGAGAAATTGAACAAGAGGAGAGCTTGTACAACAGGAGAGATTGTGTGATAGATACTGTAAAAGATGAGAGATTATACACGACTAGGAGATATTATAAAAGTGGACAGACTGTACAAAAAAGATTGCGCAAGAGGAGCAGAACGTCAGTGCCTCACCCAAGCTGTCCGAATGCAACATTCTGCTGGTATCTCTTCTCATCTTCCTGCTCCTCACTGCTTATGCTATCCCACTCATTCCTGCAATACAGCGTTAAAGGAAGGGATTTCCCACTGGCCTTTACAACATTACATCCTGTACCACCTTCTAGGCAGACAAGCTTCTCATCGTTTTTGCACAAGAAAAAATAAGGAACAAGTATAAAAAAAAACTTTCCGTGGTAGCTATGCATTTCCTGGCTGGTGAAAATTATATTAAATTAGGTCAAGAGTTGATTTGGCCAGCATTTTCCTAAGTGATACGATCCTAAGTGGGATACCTTGTGAACAGAGGTCTGTTGGCACGTTCCTGCTGGAAGGCATCATAGAAAGCCGCGCTCCAGAAGCGCTGGCACTGCCATATCGGTTGATTGTGCAAATGTGAGTAAAGATACACTCTTTGCCCCTCATGGTGTTGAATGCCACCTATGAGTATGATCAATATAACCAACCAAGATGAGTACATGCTCTTGAGAGTGGTTTGCTCAGCGTGAGTCTGGAGAATCAATCTTGAACAACAAAATCTGTTAATTGCACATGCACGTACTCGCACACACACATACAGAAACACTCACACACAGATCTATACAAACACATGCACTCACGCACACACACATGCACACACGCACACATGCACGCACGCACACACACACACAAACACACACCCTCAGTCAAGCATGCACACACATGCTCGTTGTGACCATATAAACTTTACATTCACATGTTTGAAGAGCAATTACCTAATAGTACATACTTTGTAATGTGTAAAATGTGAAGCACATATTCATTAGTGTTCTTGCAGGTGTGAAGTCATCGGCTTCATGGCACTCAAACAGAGCTATGGCCAAGTACTGAACTAGAGAATAGAATGTTCTCTCACTAACTTGCTTGTTCTTCACCCTCTGTAAACAAGAGGTTCCACATATAACCATTTGGGTTCATAAATGGTTACAAAATTAGTTTTAAAATTTATTTTATTTCATGTATTTTACAGTGTAAAACACTCAGCAAAACGTCTACTGCAACCATTTTCTCAGTAATAATGATCACAAAAAAGTTCAATGTTTACAACTTGTCAACAACATACCTGCTTTGATAGAAGCTTGGAAAACCACAACCTCCCCTGTGCAGCCTGGGTATATAAGGAAATATTATAATTTTAAACGAGCTAAAAAGAAGCTGACAATTATATATTTGTAGCATCTGATTCTGCATTATGTATGAACGTAATGAGCTTTTCCAAATTCATGTAATTACATGTAAAGTATATGTACAGATATACTATACTGCACATAAATAATAAGAGTTAAATCGATAGTTTCATAAATAAAGTTATTAGCGAACCTGGCAACATTCTCCAAACTTTGCTTTCAATATTTGGGAAATTTCAGCGCTAAAACAAAGAATTACATAATTTTACTTGTATGCAATATTCAAAAATCACTAATATAACACTATGAAATCAATTTCAACCATCTCAAATACCTGGTATGGCAAATGTATAAAATCTGAGATGCCACAAATAATTTTAATTAAGTAGCAGACTCAAAATATGACCACAGCACTGATAGCAGTTGTTGCAGTTGCATTTCTAACTTGCTGTTGTGCTCCTGAAATATACATACATGTCAACCTATACGGAATGTCCGTAAGTTTTACGAATTTTCACCCATTTAAATTGCTTACGGGGTACACCTAAAATCATACGGATTATAAACAAACTTGGCTCAAAATTTATTGCGTGCTGTTTTGTTTAGAGAACGATAAAATAACGCATGAACACGTGCATACAAGTAAAGAGAACAGTAAGTGAACGCAGACTAGCGACTGCAGAGATGACTCTCGGTTAATAAAGTGTTAATATTAAACTCATTTTGTTGTGATTTGTAGATCCTAAGGATTTCTTATGGATTTTATGGATTTTTCCAGAAGGTTATACAGGTGGGCATCCGAAGGGCCGTATTTAAAATGCAGTGGCTGGAGGTACGGCAGCCGTCGTTCGTTAAAGCCCCTTTTTGGCGTTAGCGTTAGGGTTAGAGTTAGGGTTAGGGTTAGGGTTCAGGTTAGGGTTAGTGTTAGGGTTCTAGCTCATCTAAACTCTCAAATCGTGAATTTATTTCCCAAGGCGTTATTTCGAAATCTGGCACCACCCGCCGCCATCTTTGTCTCGTTAAGTATGAAAGCGAATGGACTGCCGTACCTCCAACCTCGAGACATTAAGATACGGCTGCCGTACCCGTAGCCACAGCGTATTTAAAAACCATTTCAATGAAGAGCTGTGTGTGCAAATTTAGAGTGTGTCCTGGCCACACGACGGTAACTAACGTGAAAACCATGTCGTCGAAAAGTACGAATTATGTCAAAACGAAGGAAGCTACGCGGTTTAGAATACTACCGGAAGATAGAATAAGGACCAGTGAACAAAAGAAGCTCATGTTTGTATACATTTCTATTTTTATTCACATCGAACTCGTACGACAAAAAGTAGTGAAATCAGTACCAAATCGTTGTCTTACTCCTTTGTCATTATACGCTCCTGCCATAATGTATATACATACATACCTATTAGCAAAGATAAGACCAACAAATGATTGCATGAAATCAAAGTACTCCTCCTGGTTGGATAACTCTAACAGCAGGTCCTTGCTATCCAACGATGGGGAAAAAGACGGCAGACCACTATCTTGCTCAGAGCTGCTGCTTATGCTGCTCACAAAAGTGTGATCCGTTGGCAGATCCAGAAGATCTAAATCGCTTATATCTTGCAGGTCAAATGAAGTGCTGGAGCTACTGGTGTTACATGTCACTGCACTGTTACACCGGCGATGCTGGCTATTTGTACATTGTTCTGCAATTATTCCACTACCCTCACTGTCGTCTGATATCGGTGAATCCACAGGCCAGTGATGCACAATTTCGGCAGGGATAGCACACGGTGTTGGAGTGCTGCCATCTACCGGGATTATTGCGCATTTACGTGGGGTGCAATCTTGCACAACATCTTCAATTTCAAAGTCTTTCAATCTCTCATTATGATACTCCTCACCACTAGGATCAGCAACGAAAACTAATGGAGCTTGATCTTCATCACTTTGGCACCCACTGTCTGCACCAGTATTTTTGCTAGCAGCAGACATACTCATATTTGGGATAGACTTGCAGTTAAATCGTCCAACACCATTGCTCCCTGGTACAAATTTGACAGTGTACCTGTATTGTGTATAATAAAGAATTTATCAGCTACTTTCTATAATTGACCAGTGAGATACATATTATGATATAGCTCTACCAGTGTGGCCCCTTCAGCCCCTGCTCCCTGCTCCCTGCTACAGGGAGCGAAGAGGGTACCCCTACTCTACATATGATATAGGCACAAGCTACTGCTCAATCCTAGTTTGGCCCTCCTTTTCGCAAATGTGCTCAACTAAGCCGGGGTGCTAAACTAGGATTGGGCCCAAGCTACCTTCTTGCTTCTCACTATGCGGCTAAGCAAACCAGTCGTAGAGCCAAGTCGGGCTACACCGGTAGAGCTATAGGGGTGCATATATGATTAGATACAATAATGTAACCCAACAAGAGTAGTAACCCTACTCTTGTTGCCTGTTGGGTTAGACTCGGCTAGTAACACTCATAGGGTCTATGTCCCCCAGGGTACTGCCGGTACGTACCCTGGGTACGGTCCGGTATACCGGAACGTACCCTGGTCACTATTTGATATGGCTAGGGTTAGGATTAGGGTTAGGGTTAGGGTTAGGGTTATGGTTCGGGTCCGGGTTAGGGAGTAGGCGACTCCCTAGACTCGTTAGTGGAGTAGGCGAGGTACGGTCCGGCATATTAGATAGTACCAGGGTTACTGCCGGAACGTACCCTGGGTACGGTGGGGTATACCGGAACGTACCCTGGCCCCGGGGGACATAGACCCTCTCAGCGCTAGTCAGTCTTGACACTTGTTACATTATTAATTTGTATCTAATAAAGTAATATATGATGTGATACTTGATAGTGATACAGCTGTATCACAATTAAAATTAGCTCTACCGGTGTAGCCCCTCGGCCCAATCCTAGTGTGAACTAGGCTGAAACTAGGCATCTGCCGCCCCTTCGATGTAGAGAAGCGGGGGGGGGGGGGCTACACTGTACACCGGTAACATAACATAATTTTAACAAGTGACAGTGTGTATCATGCATACGGCAAGCTGATCCAGATGAGACGGGATACTAGAGAAGCGTTGCTGAAAGGAGATGTTGATCCCAATTGCGCTGAAGCGCAGATCTTTCGCGCAG